GTTGCGATCTGTATGTCTCAGAGTATTTTCATGGTTATTCTAGGTGCTTGCAGTCCAGCACTGGCCATCCGGCTCCATCCGTGGACATCCGGCTTTATCCATGGTCGAATACGGCTCCTTTAGATTATTATTATTATTATTATTATTATTTTTTTAGAATTTTGTGATAATTCCAGTTGCGATCTGTATGTGCCAGGTTATTTTCATGGTTATTCTAGGTGTTTGCCCTCCAACACTTACCACGCGGCTCGATCCGTGGCCATCCGGCTTCATCCATGGCTATACCCGGCTCAATCCATGCCATCGTGGCTATCCGTGTTGATCCGGCTCCGTGTATGGCCTCCCGTCGTTTCCGCCGTGAGCGGCAGATAAGAGAAGGTGGAGAAGTCGTCCTTCAAGGTTAAGCAGGCCCAGGGGTAAGCTCAAATATTCAGCCCAAATAATATTTGGCCCAAATATGCGCTAAAATATTTAGCCCAAATAATTTCATTTATTTGGATTGGAAAAAATCGGCCCTAAGAGACGCAATTCAAAAAATTTTTTTTTTTTTTTCTTATAAAGGGGGAAAACTCAAAGCCAGAACACCCGTTTATACTAAGAGGAAGGAGGTAGGAGACGGCGAACACCCCCATTGTACATGGAGGAAGGAGATAGGAGACGTTGAACACCCCATTGTACACGGAAGAAGGAGATCCATTTTAGGAAGAAGAGGTAGGTAGACGCTGCTCTGGGTTGAGTTGAAATCAGGTATGAGATGAAATCAGATTGTTAAGTTGTTGATTTTAGCTATGACTTTGAATCTTATATTAGGGTTCTAAATTTGAGTTTACAGTAGAGTTCATTGAGCCTAATCAGGTCTGAGTTGAAATCAGATTGTTAACATGTTGATATTAGGTGTTTAACTTTGAATCTTGTTAGGGTTTGAAATTTGAGATTAAAGCAAAGTTCATTAAGCCTAATTTTTGTTTTATTTCTGAATTTGCTACTTTGCAATGACTTGGACATCAAGCACTAAAAGTATTTCATTGTTCTCTTCCTCACAATCCTCTGCACAACCTTCCCTATGGAGAAGAAGTTAGGGCAGATGTGTTTTATAAGATTCAAAATGTGGATTATTCAAAGTCG